AACTCCGTTGACACTCCTTGGGGGCAGTGGAGAGAACCGGCAAGAACGTGCGCAGCTCCGCATGTCCCGCACGCTTCTGGACACCTATTAAATAGGAAAATGCAACCGGGAAGATAGTCAAATACACAAACGGGAAGAGAGTCAACCACACAAGGAGCAGGAACGTGCACGCACACACGCAGAGCAGGGAATGATAACTATTGCTCACGAGGCAATATGGTGTCTCGGTTCTTGGCCTAAAAGAGATGGACGATGCCGTGCAGGTGCTCCTTGCACTCGGCATCTCTCGCTTCGACGCCCCTCGGCCAATAGGGGGGAATAAAGAGCTTCGCCCCGTTCAAGCGCATCAAGTCCCCCAAGCGCAACTCCAAGTTGTACACAAGCTCGCGGGCGAATGAGCGGCAGCAGGTGTAACATCCTTGCATGTCCCCGCTGCTGGTGGTGTATCCTGGCACAGAGTCCTCGTGCAGTTAAAAACAATGTACCCGGGGCTGACCGTCCATGTCCACCCCCTCCACAGCCACTTCACAGCAGTCAGGTGAGGCGTGCCGCGCGAGGAATGCCGACAGCATCTCGCTGGTCCCACCGCCAAACTGCTGGCCACAGTCGATGTACCTCTGATGGTCAGCCTCACCTGGGAATGGACTCCAGTGAGGTCAACCTGTTGGGCGGGAGTGATCGGGTACATTGAAACAACAGAATAGTACAAGGTACGGATCATGAATCAAATGACTCACCTCACCTCACCTCAAATGAATAGTACAATAACTCACCTCACGTCTCTGGAATAGCAGGTCCAGCGCGTTGAGTGCCGTGCGCACATCTGCCAAGAAGTACAGGAAGAAGTGAAATTTTAAGAATGTCACCGGGCGGTACATCATTTCGTCAGTCTGCTGGAGGAGAACAATGACAGCAGGCAGAATGTGGACGAGTCGTGCGATCGCCTCGCCGCGGCTCAACCAGCAGACGACATTGATCCCCTGTACCTCTAGGTTTGTCTGCGTGAAGATCTCCTGCAGCTCCTTGAATTTGAGGTGGGAGTTGTCCGGCCTGCCAAGATCTTCTGCCACAGAGCAGATTAGAGCATTGATCATTCCAAGCTCTGGTAGTGCCCTAGCCACATCCCTTGCCGCTAGCGCCTCCCTGCCAAAGGGACAATAGCACAGTCGGTTTGTTAGTATCAACACTTTCACATGTCAAACAACAATGACACGTTAATGAGCATACCTGTGCGCGATGCAGTGACTGGCCACCACATGCGGGATCCACAATCGAAGACTCCCAAGGAGGCTAGTGTCGTTGCCAAGCATCACCGGAGCCCCATCGGTGCTGATTCCCACCATCTTCTCCAACGGCAGGCTGATGCTGTCTAGAAATCTTTTGAGCACAGCGTGCAGGGATGTTGCATCACACTTCTCAATGGAAAGGTTTGTTGGAAACTCAGTGACGACTACATGTTCACGAAGAACTGTAACAAAAACAATCAGGTGCTTCCCTCTGACGCGGTCTGTGCTCTCGTCACAGCTGAGACCAATGAGCACACTTGAGTCAATTTACTCTCTCTGGTGGGCACGAAGGTATGTCACTGTTGCGGCGATAAGTGCTTTGAAACCGTACCTGCACGGGCGTTAAAAGAAGTAGTTAGTTATACAACAAATCGTTCAATCAGTGGAACGATAAATATTAAAGATATTTTACTCACGTCGTGTAATATGCGCCATATCCGTTTTTTGGGAAGCCCCGGGTGCCCGACTGCGTGAGTTGTCGGGCGAGACCCACCCACATCTCGATGGGGGCGTCCGATTTGGCGATAAACAGCCTTGTCTCAAGGAGCGCGATCACGCGCTCCTTCTCAATGTCCTTTGCCTTTGCGGTGTCATCAATCCATCGATTTGCCTTGAGCGCTGCCGCCGCCGTCTTCTGTTTGCGCAGAGCTTGACAGTGCTTCCTTGTGCGCTGGTACTTCCGCATAGCTTGGGTCTGCACATCGGTCGCCCCTTCACCTTTGCGGCCGAAGTCCGTTCCCACGCCAGCATGCTCAATGCAGACCGTGCACTTTATGGACGGGAATCCTTATTTCGTCTGACAAAGAACAAGCCATGGAAATTCGTCATACCACTGTATCTTGTACATGAACAACGCCTCCTGGTACTTGTCCTCTGCAATGTCGGGAAGTGTTGTTGAGGTGGAGTGTTCCATCCCCTCAATGTCTGCGCGCATAGCAGTGATGGCCTCACTGCTGCTACGAATCAACGACCCCTTTATGTTATACTGAAGCCAAACTACAATTCAATAACACTCACAACTACATCAGGGTAATGGAAAATTGTACATTTTCGCATAAAAGTTTTGATTTCAAAAAACTATGAATACCCTTATGGTTAAAAGTTACTAGCACAGTTCACACTGATAATCAGGGTAGCCAGAAAACCTACACTACTAATCATGGGTAACGAAAAATGAAAAGTAAGGTCAGGAATTCTGAGCTGGTGCAGAAAGCATGCATTTGCTGTAGCAGCAGTAGTAGCAGCTCCTGCAGCCATGCCACATGGAACTTCATAAACATTCACTCAGCAAGAGCATCAGGCTGTAAGGCTGTTGAAGCCAAACGGTTCATAATGCCTTCTATTGAAACTTGTCAATCTGTGATTCACATCACATCCTACTGTGCTACGAATCTCCGGCCTGGTTTGTTACAGTCTTCATGAGCCGTCCTAACAGATTTTTGCAGCCTTGTGTCACTGTTTGCCCTCACCATACACCCGCGTTTCTCTGCATCCAACAGCAGCTGCTCCCACGTGCGGTTACCCCACCTCAGTGTGTCACCGTTGCCCACCACCCACATGGCATGGCGCTCGCGTCACCGCCACATTTAGACTGGAAGAAGGGGCATGGCAGAGAGCGATGCCCGGGACCGGTAAATAATGAATTCCCATTTCTCCTCCTCTTAAGCATGAATTTTCATGTGAAGGAAACGGGGGTACTGCATATCAATTCCTGCTCTTGAACTTAACAAACTCAATAAGGCCACATGTACCGTCTTGGGTCAGCAACGAATCCAATCGATCCAACCGTGTTGCAGCGCACGGTGCTGAAAATGATGACGTCACACTCCCTCCCTTGAAAGCCATCCACAGTGCCCGCGTCCAACAGCAGCTGCCTCCATGCGCCCTCCCTCGCCCTGCAGCGCCTCCACCTGCCGCTTGTAGGGCGAGATCACCCCCACCTTCAGCCCCGTGCCGCCCTGCGTGTGCACAGCTGCTCCTTTGCATGCTGCAGGTTTAGTGGCAGGAAGGGACAGGCAACGGAACCGAGACAATGGGAGAATGGAGGTAGGAACTGGGCACATTGTGAGAAGGTATCCCTGAGAGTGTGAAATTGAAGGGTTGAAGAAGGATGGAAGGATACATGCAAGGCGCACCGTGAGCGAGGCGGTGCAGGAGGGTGAGGACGAGAGTAGCCTCAACAGAGTTGCCTATGTTGTGGCCGCCACACTGTGTCACCCCGCCCTCCCTCTCCTCCCTGCCCTTCACATGAAAGAACCTGTACGCGCCAAACAGGGGCTGGAGGTGCTTTGGCCTGTGCTGCGGATGGCTCACATTGGCACCATTCTGGATGCGTCCGTGGTAGAAGCAGCGCAAGGGGAAGAGGCTGATGGCGGGGTACATGCTGTACTGCACGCTCAGCAGCTGCACCGCCCACCCGTTGCCTTGCAGGCACTCAAATAGGCTGCGGTTGTACTGACCTGCTTCTGCCACTTGCTCATGTGGGAGGGAAAAGAGGGAAACCACCTACTTTGGAAGATAATTTTGACATCAAGAAAGCGGGTGGAGAAACATATAAGGTAGCAATAACAAACATAGCAAACCAGAGCCCAACTAGTGAAAAGAGCCCACCTACTTATTACCCTGGACCATTCACATGCTTCCTCATGTGCCCGTACGGATTTGCACAATTGCAAGCGATCCACCTCACCTTTGAAGAACACCATACATCGCAGACCGTACCAAGGCATGTGCCTAATCCCAAAACTAGAATATTCCATCCGATTCCGTATCAATAAAGATTCTATATTCTCTTGACCACCGCATCCCACCCACCCACCTTGCTCATGAAAGTGGCGGGAAGCTGCCGAGGGTCGCCGACCAGCACGGCATGCTACACGCCGACCGTCTGTTGAGCCACGAGTTCCTCCGCCTCCACCAGCTGGGCGGCCTCATCCAGCAGTAGCAGGGGGAAGAGACATGTCGCATGCCATAGGCCACACAGCCTCCTCTCTGTTGCCAGTCTCCCTTACCCTTCCTTCCTCACCCGTTTTCCTTCCTTTCTCTCCTCGGCTTCCAGATTCCAGTTCCTTCCCTGGTGCATCCCTGTTAGCTCCTGTTCAACCTCGCTCGTAGGCATGTCCGCTCACTTTATCCCCTCACGAAAAAGTTCACTAACCCATCGCCAACCTTCTCTTGCTCGGCTGGCTCTACTTAGGATTATGGCAAAAACCACTCCACTATGTTGAGAAAACAAACAAACAAGCAGTGAATATTGATAGCACAAGCTACTATGTACACAAAGTTCTTGCTAGGCTACTGATTTGTTGCAGAGAGCGTGGTGGGAGGTGTGACCCTGCACTTACACACGCCAACAACAAGCACACGAAGCACACAGAGGCATCCGACATGTAAACAATCGTCACCATACTTCTCAGCCCACATATCTACATGCATCATCTCCACCATTGCTATCACGCCCTTTCTTCCATCCGTTGTCGCTCATCCATCTCAACTCCTTTCATTCCCTTGTTCGCGAAACCCCTGAACTGCTGCTGCCGTCACTGTACACGCGCGTCGTTTGCATGACTCTCTGCTCCACTCATTTACATCTTCGCTGTAGTTCCAGCTGTTGCTCCAAAGTATTGTACCCAACCCCGGTAAAGCTCAACTAGATTCTGGAGGTGACAAATACACTGCCTTCTTCTGTAGCCATTGGTAACGTAAAGCCATGCTTTACGTAACCTGTGACAGACCCGAGAGGCGGATGAGAGAGCACTCAGATGATGACACGGTGGACAGTGCGAGGCGTGCGCCCTTCACACATGCATCCGCTATAGTCTCCCACGATGGGGTGCTGCTGAGCCCGAGGTGGTTGAAGGGGGGGCTGGCTGCGTGGATTCTTTGCAGGTGGAGGAGGATGGCATGGAACAGCTCCGTGGCACGATCACGAGAAGCATCAGCACAATGGGTGATGCTGCTGCTGCTGTTGTTCAATCTTGCTACAGAGACAGTGATGTTCCTCCTATGATTCTTTCCCTTGGCACAGCTGCTGGCCCCACCATTTTCTCGGGGCAGCCCCGCCAGCACCACAGCCCCCCGCAGCACTGCACACACCCCCATGCTCTTCTGGGCCCCAGTCCTCTTTCCCCCCGCCATCCAGCCACGTCAGCAGGCGCCACTCCTGGGCACGCCAGAACCTGCAGCAATGCCGGCAGGAGGTCAGCGGCTTGCAGAAGCAGTGTGCGGTGGTGAGCTGGCAGGAGGGAGGACGGAAGGTCCTGGGCCAGAGTGGCAGCTCCCTCCCTTGCCTGCTTCACCAGCTTCCCCACTCGCTCTTGGAAGAAGCTCAGCAGGTCAGCAACCTCACGCCTCCTGCCACAAATGCTCTCCGCCTTGCCATCCCTGCCAACCAGCCCTCCACCACCCCCTCTAGCCTTCTCCTCCTCAACTATAAGGCGCTCCTCACGCTCATCATTATGCTCCTCATACTCCACGCGCAGCTGCTCGCCTGTGCACTGCAGCACGCCCATGAGAGCCCTGAAGGCGCCTCTCCACCCGGTCCGCCCACTCAGTGCCGCTTGCAACCGCCACACTTGCCCCCTACGTGCGCCACCGCCGTTGCCATCATGGCGGCCGAGAAACAGCAAGCTGAGCTCGCCGTCCACGTCCACCCTCTCCTCGTTCGCCACCAGCACCATGTCCCCCACTTGTACCCGCTCTTTGTACGCCCCTTGCCCTCCCCCTGCCCTTGCCCCTGGCCCTTCCTTTGCCACCCCCCCCCCCTTGTAGTTGACAGAAGCGCTGAGGAAGGAGCAGGGGTGGGTCAGCGGTTAGAGGAAGGCGCTGCATGCGGCGAGCCACCTCGGCGACTGCCACGTTGGTGGGCGCACACACGAGCGTACGCACGCCCAAAGACAGCACCGCCCACAGCAGAACCGGAAGCATGTGCACCTTTCCTGTGCCTGGCGGCCTGTGCACCAGCTGCAGGGGCGGTGGGGGGGAGGAGGAGGACGGGAGCGCTGCAGAGGAGGAGGAGGGCAGGGGGGTGGGAGTGGGATCGGCTGGGGGTGGGGAGAGGAGAGCTACAGCAGGCGGAGTGGGGGTAGGCAGGAGGGCGGAGAGGCAGGAAAGAACGGCTGCATGCTGGGAGTGGTTGAGGTGGCGGGCAGTGCAGAGGTCCGAGACAGCTTGCAGCACAGCTGCTGCCTCGTGAGGCGCCACTACAATGGCTAGGGGCACCACCGAGCTTTGCTGCAGAGGGAAAGACAAGAGAAGGTGAGCAAGACAAAGGGCGGAGGAGGGAATCAGTTGATTGCAACAAAGCTTTCATGAAACATGTCCCCACCACCACCACCATCCTGCCCCTCTCCTGTTGGATGCGCGTCATTTTGAATGCATGTCATCCTAACGTCCTGGATTGGAGTGGCTAGAAGAGTTTCTAGTATGGGTTGCAAATGTTGCAACACCTAGGCAAAATTCAACTAGATTGGATTTTGCATGATGAGGGTTGCATCCTTGCTGCTAGGAAGGTTCCTACCATCCATTCATAGCTCTTGGAGAACCCTTTTGCTCTCATGGTTCTCTTGGAGTCCCCAACTCCAACCTTTCTATGACGTAATGTTTGTACTTCCTCCATCATTCTAGTCATGCAGCAGCTGGACGTTTTCAATTGGTTTTCACTCTATAGACCATTTTTTTAAGTGATTCAAGTTGGAGATGGTAGCTACGCCTAAGGCGCACAATCCTACCAAGCGGATTTGCGTTTAGTTGAGAAATGAGTTCGTCGTAAGCTCTCAAAATGACGGATCCTAAACAGCAAGTGGTATCAGAGCGGGTAGTCGACTTTGAGACAACAAACTGTATGGAATTCTCAACCAATGTTGACGAGTGAGACCATTTTCTAGTAGCTCTATTTGCGAACTTTTGATACGTGGTCGAATCGCGTTCTATTTTGAAGTATCCAGTCCGCAACGGCATTTTTGTAGAATCGGAATTTCTGGCAGAATTCTCTCCAAACGATTTCTCAAGTTTCTACCTTTCATAAGGCCTCAATATGTTTGGTACGGACTCCGGAGGTGCTAATAGCGCGATGGCTAGATGTAGAGAGGCTGGAGAGCAGGGGGGAGTTGCTGGTGGTGGAATGGGGATTCACCGACCAGCCAACCTTACGCTACATACTTCTTCTACACCATCTCCTACAACCGTGGATCCTATGAAAGCTTCCACTACCAAGAAATTCATGGGGGAGGACTACGAGCACTGGAGCTTCCGCATGAGGCTGATGTACACCCAATACAAGCTATTGGACCTGGTGGAGGGGAAGGAGAAGATGCCGGAGGCCGCGGAGCTGAAAGGAGCGTGGATGAAACGCTCGTTCGACGCGTACATGCTTATGGTGCAAGCGGTTGGCGGACGACAACTTGACCACATCAAGGACCTCTTGGGTGATCCAGAATGTGGACCCAAGGCTTGGAGGAAGCTTCTGGATGTGCACTCACCGACACACGCTACCGGCATCGTGCTACTCGCGCAGCGGCTACGCAACATCAAGTTCGTTGATCGAGAGCTGATGCAGCCCATGTTGGACGAGATGCGTGATATCTTCACGAAGCTCCAAGGCGGCGGTGTGGTGTACCCGGAGCTCGTGCAATGCGTGGAGATCGTGATATGGGGCTGCGCAACATCAAGTTCGTTGATTGAGAGCTGATGCAGCCCATGTTGGACGAGATGCGTGATATCTTCACGAAGCTCCAAGGCGGCAGTGTTGTGTACCTGGAGCTCATGCAATGCGTGGAGATCGTTATATGGCTGCCGGAGTCGTGGTCTGCCCTTGCGATCAACCTCAACTCTCAACAATCCTAGTGGAGCGTGGATTACATTCGCATGCACATCCTCGAGGAGGACTTGCGGTGGCGGAGTGTGAAGCGCTCGGAGGAGGGGGCTGGCTATGGAGTTGGAGGTGGAAAGAGTGGCTTCAAGAAGAAGTGGAAGGGCAAGAACAAGGAAAACTCTAAGGAGGATGGCGGCGGGGGTCAAGGGGAGGTGTGCTTCTACTGCAAGAAGCGCGGACATCGTTGGCGGAAGTGCTACCAACGACCCAAGGATTGGACCCCGCCTTCATCAAGTAACTAGCATTGTGGCAAGAGGAGCGGGGGAGTCATGGGAGCTAGTGGAGAGGAGAAGGATGAGGAGAAAGGCAGCAAATGTGAGGAGCGGAAGGCCGGGTTCTTCTTCTTCGTGAACGAAGGCGCAACCGACCCCGCTATGGCTGCTAAGGTTCTCCTACACCCCCTCAACCATTGGGTGATTGACTCTGGGAGCTCTTGGCATATGACTCCTCGTGCGGACCTACTCGATGAGATTCAGCCCGCACCCATCTCTACGGTCACATCCGCGACGGGCGCTAAGGCCAAGGACATGGGCATGGGGTGCGTCAAGTTCATGGGAGCAGATGGAGAGCTCGTGGGGCTAAAGAACGTGCTGTGGGTGCCGGACTTGTGCGCAAATTTGATTTCTACCTGTCGATTGGGAGATGCGGGTGTGAACACCGAGACGATTGGCTCGGAGCACTATTGTGCTTACAACAACGAGCGCCTCATTTGGGACCTGCGGCAGAAAGGGAGACATCCACAAGCGCATCTAGCAGATACCAGTCCTCCCTTGGCGGAAATCGGGCAAGGCGGCAGCCGCGGCATCTATGGAAGTGATCATTTCCGAGGAGGAGCAGCAAGGTGTGCAAGGAGAGGAGCTGATTGGAGGAAGTGCGGCGGTGAAGGGGTCGTCTACCTCGGGCCAAGCAGATTGGGAGACTTGGCATCGGCGGCTCGCACACGTGGCTGTTTCTACATTGGAGGTGATGCACAAGGAGAAGTGCGTGCATAGCCTGCAACTGCAAGGAGATGGCGCTTCATTTGGCAGCTGCGAGGTGTGCATGCAAAACAAGTTCGTGCGGTTCCCGTTTCCACATGTGGAGGGATCGGCGAAGGCACCCTTGGAGGTGGTGCACATGGACCTGGTGGGTCCTATGAGGATGGAGGGGACTGGGGGAGTGCTGTACTTCCTCACCATGGTGGGCAAATGGAGCCGTTTCACGTGGGCACGTCCCTTGTCCAACAGGAGCGTGCTGCAACGGCGATCAAGGAGGATTGGTTGTCGATGGTGGAGCGGCAAGCGGTGCGGTTGGTGAAGGTGTTGAGGAGTGACCGTGGTGGAGAGTTCCTTGGAGCGGAATTTATCAAGTTTCTCAAGAGGAATGGCATTCGACACTAGCTGACCTGCCCTGGGACACCGCAGCAAAATGGCATCGCTGAGCGTGCCAACCGGACCATTGGCGAGGCGGCTAAGACCTTGTTGGGGGCTGCTGGGATGCCCTACAAGTTCTGGCCTGAAGCTGTTCGCCATGTCATCACGGTCAAGAACAGGGTCTTGACGCATGTTGGCGACAAGCACTGGGTGCCGTACGAGCGTTGGCTTGGGAAGAAGCCATCCATTGACATGCTGCGGGTGTGGGGCTGCATGGGGCTTGTGATGGTGCCTAAGGAGCAGAGGCACAAGCTGGAAGTTGCTGCTGTGTGGGCTGTCCATCTTGGGATGGCTCCTAACTCAAAGGGGTGGCTGATGTGGAACCCCAAGAGCAAGAAGACGCTGGTCAGCCATGACCAAGTTTGTGGAGGATGTCATGTACAAGGACTGGCAGCAGCAGCAGCAGGTGCAGATTGGCTTGCGTCTGCAGGAGATTGAGCGGTCTGCAGTGGAGGAGGTTCAGCTGCACCTTGATGTTCTCCATGGGTCAGAGCTGACCAATGACCACAATGGCGGTGGGGAGCAGCAAGTTTCTGGTCCTGCTGTGGAGGAGGGGTTGGAGGATGAGTCGGCACGTGCGAACTCTCCATCTCAGCCCGAGTCTGCTGCAACAACCAAGGTCACCAAGAGGAGTGTGCAGAAAGGAGCTTCACCATATGGACAGCGGATTGTAACCCGCGAGAAGAGAGTGGCAGCGCCACCTTCAAGGCTGAAGTATAGCCGTTTGGGAGGACCCAAGCAAGGTGCCTTGGCAGTTCAGGTGGATGAGAGAGAGGATGAGAAGATGGCCTTTTGTTTCTTCAAACCCTTGCCTGGAGAACCAGCCACAGTGGAGGAGGCACTGGATGGACCCCAGAAGGAATAGTGGAAGGCTGCTTTGGATGCGGACTTCAACAGTCTCATTGAGAATGGGACTTGGGAGCTTGTTGAGTTACCCGAGGGGCGACGACCAATCAGTAGCAAGTGGGTCTTCAAGGTGAAGAGTGGAGCTGATGGTGCGTTGGAGCGGTTCAAGAGCCGCTTGGTCGCCAAGGGGTTTCAGCAGAAAGAGAAGGTCGACTTCGGGGAGATCTTTGCTCCCGTTGCTAAGCCAGTGACACTAAGGACTTTGCTGGCTGGCACAGATGTGAAGGGATGGTACGTGAAGCAGATGGATATCACCACTGCGTTCCTCAATGGAGTGCTGCTGGAGGATATCTACATGGCGCAGCCCGACGGCTATGAGGATGGGACCAGCCGGGTGTGCAAGCTCAAGAAGGCTATCTATGGCCTTAAGCAAGCGCCCAAGTGCCGGTACGAGAAGCTAGAGGAGGTGATGCTGAATGGAGGCTTCAAGACGTCCCAAGCGGATCACAGCTTGTTTCTGCTTGGAGAGGGGGAGCAGCTGCTCTTGCTGCTGGTGTATGTCGACAACATACTGCTGTTCTCACATTCAATGGAGCAGATTGAGAGGACACAGAAGCTGCTGGTGGACAACTTCAAGTGCAAGATGCTGGGGGATGTCCACTACTACTTGGGGCTGCAGATTGAGAGGGATGTTGAGAGGAGGTGGCTGAAGATGCATCAGTCACACTACATCTCTGGTGTCATGGAGTGCTATAGTGTGACTGGGGGTCGCACTGTGATGACACCGTTCCCTGCGGGCTTCAAACTGAAGAAGGCAGCTGAGGAGGATGATGTACTCGAGGATGACCAGCAAAATGAGTACCACTCATTGGGAGTGTGATGTATGCAGCTGTGCATACGCGACCTGATGCTTCATTCGGAGTGGGGCAGCTAGCCAGAGTTGTGCAGCGGCCCACTGAATTGAATGATCCACCAGGGTACAAAGGCAAATACATAGGCTCGACACAAGGCGGGTTACCAAGGTGTTACGTAAATGTTCCAAGGGTCACGATGCATCCCAAACAGAACCTTTCTGAACTCGGTAGAAAGCAATTCGGTGGAAACCGAATAGGCTTGAGTTCGGTACATGTAACCTGGTTGGGTGCTATAACTATAATAAAATATAGGAATGCACCTAACCTAGGAAATCAAGCATATCTATGCATGATAAATAAAACCCATGCTAGTAATAGCATAATAATGTCTAGGCAAGCTAGCAAAGCCAGCATAAGCCGTCGTACTCTCACAAGAACCTTCTCTTCCATTGCCGCTGCCTTTGGCTATAATTCCCTCCTTAGCTGTCCGCTCACCCTTACGTAAGTGCCGCCCCACCCTACTTCCAAGCTGTCAAACTTTATGCTGAACATGATGAGTAGGCTATAGTGGGGTAGCCCAAAAGGGGTACAACCCAGTTCTAGGGTTAGTACTTGTACCCACATTTCTTCCAATGCAATCATTCTAGCCTAGTTTCTTAACATGCTATCAGAGCAGTAGGTCCGTAGGACCGGTTTTTTTTTTCGGGCCCACCGGTTATCGTGCTACCCCACGACCTACCCTGCCCTGTAACGCCCGCACGCGCCGCCCCTGCAGCCCGCACGCTGCCCCCCGCTGCCCCGCACGTCGCCTTTGCCGCCCGCACGCAGCCCTTTGCAGCCCCGCGCGCCGCCCCAGCAGCCTGCGCGCTGCTTTCTCTTGCCCCGCGCGCCGCACCAGCAGCCTATGCGCTGCTTTTCTTGCCCCGCGCGCCGCCCCAGCAGCCTGCGCGCTGCTTTTCCTGCCCCGCGCGCAGACCCTGCAGCCCGCGAGCTGCCGTTTTCGGCCACGCGCGGGCCCTAGCAGCCCTTGCGCTGCCTCTGCCATACCCCGCGCGCAGCCCAGAGCAGCCCGCGCCCTGCCCCAACGGCCCCCGCGCTGCCTCTGCCCCACCCCGCGCGCAGCCCCTTGCAGCCCGCGCCCTGCCCCAGCAGCCCTCGTGCTGCCTCTGCCCTACCCCGCGCGCCGCCCTTGCAGCCCGTGCCCAGCCTCTGCAGCCCTCGCGCTGCCTCTACTCTGCCCCGTGCGCAGCCCTTGCAGCCCCGCGCAACGCCCTTGCAGCCTGCGCCCTGCCCCTGCAGCCTCGCGCGTCGCTCTTGCTACCTGCCTGCAACCTCTGCAACCCTTGCTCTGCCTCTGCCTTGCCCTGCTACTGAGCTGCTAGACTATGGCCACTCTGCGTATTCTCGCGTTCGATCCTGGGGGCCGCCCAGTCATATTCGAAACCTGGCTCCAGGACCTGCACGGCTGTATCTGCTGAGTGACGCTAGGGACGGTGTTTTGCTCTATGACCTAGCGACTGGTGCCTCTACTACCCCACCAGCCTCAGCTGACGCGACGACTCGCTCGCAGTGGCTTACCCGTGATGCTGCTGCTCGCCTAGCCATTCGCAACCACCTGCGAGTAGCTGAATGCGAGCATTTTGACTAGGCGAAGACTGTTCAGGCCCTCTACGATGCTGTTGTTGCACGTTACTCTTCCCCTACAACTGCACCGCTTAGTCGCCTCTTCTTACCCTACCTTTTCCCCGACCTGTCCTCTTTCGCCACGGTAGACGACCTCCTCTCCCACCTTCGCGCTATGAACGCTCGCTACCGCACTGCCCTCCTAGATGACTTTCTCCCCAAGAACGAGCCCTTGATCTACATCACTCTCCACTTTATAGTGACCCGCCTCCCTGACTCTCTTAGTGCAGTCCGGGACACCCTTCTCGCTCTCCCCCCCACAGAACTCACTATCGACCTGCTAGGGAAGCACCTTCTTGCAGCTGAGGCTAACATAGTCGCTGTCGGTTCTACCCGTGGCACCCCTCGCACGTCCTTCTTTGAGGGGTGCTCCCCATCCCCTCTTGCCCCCTCTGTTGCCTCTGCCGCTGCTGTCGACTTCCTTGGTGCTGAGGAGGTCGGGGCTGC